GCAGTGGCAGTTAATTCTATATACGGATCAAGGCACTTAAGATATGTATCTGCTGTCAACTTAGCTGCTTCAACAATCAAATATTCAATAGTAAGATCAAGAATGGTTATCGACATTGATAACCATATAATGAGCTCCGGCAGTTATAAGAAGTTTACTAATTGGTTAGAAACTTTAGCTACAGAGCAGCCACAACTTCCCAAAGGTTTCTTATTTTTTGCCTTGACAATGAACAAAAAGGTCAAAAAAATTACTTAGATCGTGGATTCAATACGGTTGTATTTCATATTGTCACGATCAAAACGATGACAGATCCCTGGTTATACTCCGAACCTCCCAAAAAGCAATATGAGGAATTATTTCAGGTATGAGAGATGAAATTCATAACGGGCTTATTAATTATCTTGTTATTATTTTAGAAGAATTTTGTATCGAGAAAAATCAAGAAACAAATGTGATCGATGAATCAATACGTCATCAAAGCCAGATGGGATATGTAAAAAAATGCTCAGCTTGTCAAACGTTCAATATTGATAATAAGAAGCGAGTCTGTCCTACATACCGTAAGAAATTACCAACAATCGCCGAGATTTAATGAGCCACCTAATATCACAGAAAATCACTTGTTCTCACACATTTGGAAAGGCTCGATCAAATCTGGAGAGCAAGGTTTATACACCACAGTTATTTGTCCCCGATCCGATAGGAATTAATCCAAACTCGGCTTCTAATATTCGAATGGTTCTTGAGATATTGAAGAAGTATCCGGCGTTAAAGACGGTAGACGTAAATGGGTTGTGGTTACTTGTGATGGGGTACCGTATCATCGTGCACTAAAAATGAAGAAAGATTTTCCTTGGCTCATAGTGAAGAAATGAATATGCTAAAAGCATTTGTCGAACTGAATTGGGATATTGATATAAGAGATTTTGCTCAATGTCAGGGTATCGAACTGAGAATCAATTACAGTTCTTTAAAAAATGCTCGGATCATCATAAGTCATGGGATGCTATATGTAATATATATAGGCATGCAATAGCATCTGAATTAATGTGGCCGTATGTTATTTCTGAGAAAAAGCCTTCTGTTGAAGGTTATTTAGAATCAAACGGATTCCACATTTAAGTTAAAGTATGAACAAATTTACAAGCGATTATTAACTTTCGTAGTGGAGTTCGTTTAATAGGCCTTCATTGAGGCTTGCAGCTAGACGAACGTTTGCGCCGATTTGGTCTGCTCGGCGACATCCTATTTACCGATTAATCGAAATCGCTTACGAAGAACAACGATTACGATTAAGGCCTAAAATTGACAAGTTGATTGAAGAAAGAATTGTAATTCACGTTCTCAACTTTCAGATCAACATCAAGGCGATACTGGAAGAAATCAACAAAACACTGAAATTATTGGTTCCTTCTATACCTTCACAATGGCATTGGGAGATCGCAGCAGTAATTATTGAAACTGCGTACTAACCTTTTTAACATAATAGGATATTCCGAAAATGAAACATCCGGCCCTTGCATACGTCCTGATTTTATTGTTGAATCACATCGAATAAGAAAAGCACAATTTGTAAACCGAATGCTGATAATCATGTTTTTCAAAATATAAGCGGAGAATGGATGCTAAGTGAAGGTTTGGTGAAATTGCACATGCAAAAAGAATAGATTTGATTAAAGCGAAACTAATCAAAGAAACATCATTGGGCATTTGGCAACCAATCCCAAGAAGCAGACCATCAAGCAAGCTGAAAGTTTATTAACGAAATCGAAGATTTTATCCATTATCAATTCTTTAACCCCTTTATTAGGCGATTCACAACGATCACGTTTTCGAGGCTTATCGCCCAACGACTTGGTAAATATTCTTCAAGACATTAGAAATATGTTACCTGAAAATAGTATTACGATTAATAATAATATATAGAAGAATTATGATATTTTGTATCCAATGATTAAAGCGACACGTGATTTTCAGATTTATTTAATGGTGTTCTGTAACAGAACTTTCCAGAATTTTTTTATTAACATAAAAAGTGCGATCTGCATTGACCAAATTTGGTAGAATCCCGACTGTATTATATGCAACTTACTACTACAAGAGTTTATGCAAATATCAATTGTCTTGGCTGTCAGTAATATATGTATAACAGCTACATTACCATGTAAGCTTCCCATTGCAGTACTTTGCGAGAACAAGTTGCATTACTAGTCAACCTCTTTCATTACTACCTTCATATTATGATAGGTATTGAGGAATTGGGGCGTAATTGTACTGTATATAATATGTATATTCGAAAACGCGAAATCAATTTTCAGCGCTAACACAACAACCAAGAATCCAATATTCATGAAGCTTATACGTTTGTTAAGTGTAACTGTTGCCAACGTGTGTGCAATGAATTGACCCAGAATACTAAGTACGATAAAAAGAAATTTATTGCTAGAATACAGCATTCCGAATTCTTCGTAAACTACAATAGATCTTGCACACGTGCACATCACTCATTGGCTATCTCAAGTGGCCACATTGACTACATCTCATGCAGTGCAGAATCCGCATCGAGAATAACAGTAGTAAAGACGTCTCTTAGCAATCATTTAATAGTTTGTATCATGCTCGGTAAATTCAAATCGTTGCGCCGCTTAAGCCATTTCTTATACCGTCTAAACTGACTGATAACATTATTATGCTTGTGTGTTGAAAGTGAGTATATTCATTCACAATACACACTTTATACTTCCAAGTAGTAAAAGCATCATTATCGTTTTCTTTACGATACTACCATCCGTGTTTGATTTCGAATAGGATAGATATATATTATTAGTTTGACATGATTTGTCGGTAATTTGCGAATAAGGTATCTATTTGAGGTCATTATTATTTCAATCAAGTCGTCAGTTGCTTGATTTTGAATGTCCTCGACTAACGACATAGTTTTGAATAAAAAATTATTCCCAATTATTGTGTTACATTGTACTGAATATCCTTACATTTTATTGCCGCGTATATTGTGCGGGAATGCGTCCATTATTGTCCACTGCTTCCTGGTCATAAGGCAGGAATATTTTCAAGGTAGCACGTCGTGATCAATCAGTGTTGATTTTGTGTATATCATAATAACTATGACGAGGAACTTTTATTCACAACGAAGTGTTGTATATAGTCACGAGCGCTTCAGCTTCAGCCCCCACAATAAATCAATGTTGTTACAAAGCATCAGCGACAATTTCGAGCTTGACATTCTTTTCACTGTTTTATTATTCAACAACAACAGTATATAAATCGACTAAAAATGCTTACGGTTATCTGTCTTCCTATTTTACGCGCATCTGCCTTTGTTACACAAGTCTTCCAACCAGTTATCACATTGGCGTCCATACGCCAATACTAAAATTAAATATTAAACATTATGAGACTTTCAATGCACTTCTCTCCAGCACCTTGTTTGCTTAATTTATGTAATAAGTGTAGACACTAACTCTATAAGTAACTGAAGCAATGTTGATAATGTAAACGTTACAGTTTATCAAGTATTCTTCTAATTAGATATGCGGTGTCTAACTCGACATTCCAATGCATAAGAAATTAAACGACGACGTATGCGACCGCATTAATTAATTGAACAAATAAATTCATAAAATGGGTTTGCTGTAACTATACAGTCACACGCAACATAAAATAATAATAATAAGATTTATTACATATTTACTACTTGATTAATAATTGTTTTTTAACGTATACACTTTTAGCCTCAAATTATGTATGATTGATTAGCATTACGCAATGTTGGAATCTTAACCTGTAATATTGTTACAAAGCGTATGATGTTGACATAGACGGTTACTGTATTTAAGAATTTTTTGTGGCCGCATGGGCAACATGGTATTTCCACAAATTAGAGAAATTTCACCCTTTTTGGTTTTTATTTAAGGAACGTAATAGCGAAAATTATTCTTTCTGTTCATGTAACTTTATTCTACGATTTGAGTTTTTTTTTAACGTTTGCCCTAACCCTATGTTTAGCTTTTCTTTTTCAATTGATCAACGTTCTTTGTCTCCATAATGCGGGTTCAGCTATTAGCTGACTCATGTCGTGTTTGCAATAGATGACAAAGTATGAATAGTCTGAATGCACGGAAATATGATGTCGACTAGCGCTGATACATTATTACCATTTTTTAATCCAACTGCTGCTCGTCTCTCATTCAGTGATGGTCTACCAGTCCAGCCAATACTTTATTACGTTTATCATCCTTATATCGTTCAATAACATCCTGAACAGCTCCCTATGAACACTCAACTGTAGCAGCTATCTCAGAAAAAGAATGCCCCAAAGTGCAAACTTATAATCATGCCCGTCTACGACGTAAACATTAATTACATTAATTACTAAAAGTGGGTTTTTTATTATAATAGCCATAACGTTTCTTGTGTGTTTATTTTACGTTCTCGACAGCGGAGTTTTCGGTAAAAAGTTTGACCATCAATCATGGTGAATTGCAAGTGTCTAGTTGATATTATAGTTTCTTTCATATACTTTCCGTCAGTTTTGTAAACACAAAGTTTTCATAGAAATCTACATATTAATATTTGTCACACGTGGCACACCCGTTTTTCGAAAAACACTTCTCGAACCGCCGCAACAATTGGATTTTATGAAGGTACAAGACTATTTCTGTAATAGTATTTGTTATGTGGCGTCTGTTTAAGTCGCCTGTTCCTCGTGTACGACAATCGTAAACATAAGATAACTCGGTGCACACTATTACTATGTATTCACTCTCAAATAACATGGGCATCACAGACCTTATCGACCACGCATTGCATCGCGAGCCTCAACCCAAGTCATACGAAAAGAAGGTAGATAACGTGTGGTTTTTTCATGGCGGACAATAATGGATAATTGAAGCTATACTAACATATTCTCACCATTCGCGAAGAGGAAATACCGAATTGGCAAAACATTAGGTTTAAACGATCGTTCCAATTCCCCACCTTCTCCGAGCATGCTGTTTTTATACTCACATTCGTTGCATTTCCTGCATAACATAATAATAAGGCACGGGAACTTATGGTTCGGTTAAAGAGGCAGTAAACGTGTCCACTGGTCAGAAAGTAGCAGTTAAAGTGATTTTGAAGAAAGATGCGGCTAGTCAAAACGAAATGGTGCAGAAAGAAATGCAAGTCCTGCAAAATCTGGATCATCCCAATATCGTAAAGTTTTACGATTGGTTCGAGTCTCGAGACAAGTACTATCTAATTTTTGAATTGTATCCTTTTTGTCGATATTATTCATCGAGGGAAAGATGAAAAGGAGAAGGCAATTGATTGTCACTTTTGATCTCTTTCTTTATTATCTCTTGATGTCTCTTGTCTTTGATAAACAGGGCAACCGGCGGTGAATTGTTTGATCGTATCTGTCAGCGAGGAAAGTTCACCGAAGCCGACGCTGTACAGGAAGTTAAAACAATTCTTAACGCTGTAAAATATCTTCACGACCATCACGTCGTACATCGGGGTAAATCTTGCGTTGCTTTTTTGCGAGTTTATGGATTACTTGTTCTTTTGCTGATTCTCTCCTCATCCTTTTATAGATTTAAAACCCGAGAATTTGCTTTATAAAGACAGAACAGCTAATTCGAAGCTCGTTCTTGCCGACTTTGGGTAAGCGTAATCGGTTTGGATATAATTGCATAAAGGCAAATCCATTTCATTGACTTGGGTCTTTCATAGGATTTCACGTGTTATAACGACTGATGATGAAATTATGACAACAATGTGCGGCTCATTTGGCTACGTTGGTGGGTAGGAACGTGATCGATTGCGCACAACTAGTTGTTGAGGAAAGGCTAATTCTCGTTTCTTGTTTTGTAGCTCCAGAGATTTTTAAGCGCACAGGATACAACAAAGCAGTCGATATATGGAGTGTTGGGTAATTATCGTTTATTCAGACATCAGTACAATATATGGCCACGACAAGTCTGACAATCACATACTAATCTGTTTGCAACTATCTATTTAGAATAATTACATATACGCTGTAAGTTGTACCTAGCAGGATTCACACAATTTGCCTTTGTTATTTAAATCATCCTCATCTTTGTCCCCGCCCTTCCAACTGTTGCGTGCGCCCTTTTCTCTCAGGCTTTGTGGCTACATTCCCTTCCGAGCGGAAGATCGCGCTGCGTTTATAGAAGAAGTGACTGCTGCTCACGTTGAATTTCATGATCGATACTGGAGAAATGTATCTAACGACGGTAAAACAAAATCTTTGTTCTATTTCTTTAACAATCGCCCAGATTATACATATAACACTGTTTGCTTTTTTTTTTTTAATTACAGCAAAAGGTTTCATTCTGACTCTGCTAAATCCTAACCCAACGGAGCGTCCAACCGCTGAAGAAGCTCTTCATCACAAGTGGTTGACGGGCGAAAATGCAGCGGACATTGATTTGTTAGACGGCATAACTGAAAACTTTAATGCCAGGAAAAAGTTTAAACAGGCAATCGACGCTGTACAAGCACTCAATAGAATCAAGGGAGCAAGCAAGTCCAGCAGCGAAGAAGAGAGCAATGAAGATGAAAATACCAATGTCAAGGCAGATGAGAAATCTGTTCGATTGCAAGTTTAATGAATGATGACAAATCCACGATTTTTCTGTTTAGCAAGTTATTGTTTGCATTGTGTACATAATAAGTTATTATGTATTAATTTATAATAGTCATTTCGAGCATAGTCTCAGCAGTCTGATGCTCTTTTAAATATTTGAACTAATGACTTTTTTTTATTTACTACAATAATACTTCATCCGAAAACTTGTAATCTTAAATTCCTAATATGATTAGGTGTCGTATTACAGCATCCTCCAATAATGATTCTTTTCTTATCTACGATGTTGACCCATTCTTTAGAAAGAGTACCAAACGTATCGGCTGAAATACCAGTCGCAATTATCCACTCCTTTCGAACATCATCCCAAGCAGCACCAGAATCGGGATAGCACATTACCCATTTTTCCACTAATCCCATGTCGTCAAGTTGTCTACGCGTAATACCGATTAGATCCCCTACATGTTGAGGGTTTGTGCAATTGACCCCGACAGCAACGACTGAAGAAACATCCATACAAGCATTGATACACTCTGTTAATGGTTCACCATGTGATACCAAATGAGAATTCCTACATGAGAATGAAACCCAAGTCGGTGGGCAGTTAGGAACGTGTTTGAGAAGCGCTTGAATAATATTCGCTTCTTGAAGAGACGGTATTGTCTCGAATGCAATGAAATCCACTTGACTAAACATTGGAGCGTATATGTCTAGACGCTCCTTATGAAACCGAAGGATATCATCAAAAGTAGCAGCTCCATAGTCACCGGTGTATTCGGCGCCATTGCATAAAACTGCTCCATAGGGACCAAGGGAAAGGGCAACAAGTGGAATATCGCGAAATGACTGGCTGTTTTCTTTATTATCCTTTTGATATTCGTCCCAGAATATATCACGTGCTTCGGTCGCAAGAGATACGGAACTCTTCATTAACTCTTCTGCTTCGGCTTGTGTGAATTCCTTGAATCCAGCAACTGAGGCTTGATAGCTAAGAAAAAAATATACTTTTAAATAAATCAGCATTTTCGGTAGAAGGGGGTGTTTTGTTCTATGCTTATTAACATTGCCAAAACGCGTACACAAAATAAAGCAATTCCGTCATCACTGAACATTTTCTACTACAGTCAACCCCTATATGTAGTGACCCTATCTATACTATAGTCACCATTTTATGTGTGTGTGACTATAGATAGATGTGATAGTCCAAAGATCTATGCAAACCTGCAGGTAGATATTATATCGGCTCCTGCACGAAGGTAGTCCAAGTGAACGTTTCGTATCGCTTGCGGATCCTGGTACAAATAAGAAGAAGACCAAAGTACTGTGCTGGTTAGATTTTTATGATACGCTCTCTCCAGATGTGTTGACGTTCCACCATCCAATATCAGCGGTTTAGTTGAATTGAGACGCTGAAGCGACATTGCTGGGTGAAATTGCTCAGCGGATATAGTTTTTCAAGGAATGTCGTTAGCTGTTAGATTTACCCCAAGAAAAAAGAAGCCAATACCTGTACTATCCGCTATTGCTTTTCCCATTCAAAGGTGGTACAGTATTGTAGTTTAACTTTAAAAAAGTAGAATATGTTAATACGAACTTATGGATGACATCACTTGCTGTTTCGGGGATCGCTCCATTTTTGGATTTCGCAGGCCTATCGATGTTCGTCCATTTACTTGCTCATTGGTGCCCACGTTTTATTTTTCACGTATCACCAAGAAAGACATCCATAATTCCGACCCTTCTGCACGTGATACGACATTTAATGAAATTCTTGCCAATCGCGATGCCAGGTACTCACCGATTACCGTGCCAAATTTAACGCTGAACTCACCTCACGCGATGAAAACTTTACAGCGGAGATCCAAAGAATCTTGATAATGCTAAATACTTCTACTGCGAGACTTGATGAGATTGAACAAGTTCTTCAAAACTACCATAACAATTTTGGTAGAGTCGCAACCGAATTCGAATCAATCAATGCTTACATGTGACATATTTTCTGCGCAATAATCGATTCTGCTTTTGCGAAACAAAATTTTTTTCTCGTTATTGCTTTTTATATTTTCTATACTGGGAAACTGCTTTGGACCCCGAAAACTTCACTCTTCTTTCCATCCTGAAATTCCGTCAAACAAGAGATGACTTCTCGTTCAATAAGTCGGTCGAGCATACTCTTATATCAAAGTTCGTTTCATACGTTGCAGAAACTGCAGATAAAAAGTGGGGAAAGGTTGCCTCTGCCCTTAATAACGATGGTGGAATTTTTAAGGTAATATTTTTGTTTTTAGGCCTGGTATCGAAGAGAATAAATCAGAAGGGGAAAAGTGGCGAGGGGATAAGGAAGGAGTTGGGCGCTGTCGAAACAACCACCTAAGCGACCTGGCAACGCGTCGGGTTAGTTACGGGGGCTATCTCCGGTGGGCTCCATCCTAAGTTTGTGTGAAGGCCAAAGGCAACACGTCTTAGTGCCAAGAGCGACGCGTTCGTTCACAACCCCTAATGACCCGCTTTTCTTCCTATAATAATTTCTTCCCCAATAATTTCAACAGCAAGCCCAATGGGAGGATGTAAAATTATTTTGGAATAAGATCAAATTTGAAAAAGTTGAAATAAACACTCAATTGTTAGAGAAGAAGTTGAGGTATTTGCAGGTCTAATATGCATAAAGAGCTGTTGTTCAGAAGGAAATTAATGTTTCATTTTACGGAAAAGCTGATTGACACTTTTTTCTTTCAATAAGACAAAACAACAACTCCAGGCAACCAAAAATGCCTCAAACCAGATAAATGTAATCCAGAATAGATTTATCAACAAGAGCAAGAAACGTGAACATGACTTGCAGGTCGATAAGGAAACATCAAAAAGGGTGAGATCAAGTGACTCTTAACATATTAATTCCTTTAGATGACTGAACGTCAACAATCATATATGATAAAAATAACAATTGACATTTTGCCTATCCGTTTCATAAATCAAGCATCAAACAAGAAGTGGGAGAGTTACTATACCAGATTATAATGAAGAAAACAGATGAAGCATCAAGTTCTGATGTCAGTATTCCTCACAAGAAAATAAACCGGAAACTATGCATGCAACAATTGAGAAGGGATTAGGATTGGACAAGCATAGCGGGCTTTAATATGATTGGATGACAGTCGAAATGTTACACACATAGTCTGCACATATTAAAAAATCCCCTTAGTATTAGTCGACTTTAAACCAATTGTATGCCATGAAAACGAATTGTTAAAAGATACAACAAACAAAATCTTAAACTGCACCTTTTCTTACATATACTGCCAAAGTAATTCAAGAAACAGCAAAGTAATTCAGAAACTAGCAAAGAAGCATTTTTGTGAAGAATGTCCACACAAGATTCCAGCAAGCAAAGTTTAGCCCATTCTAACAAAAAGAAGGGAAAAAGAAAGAGTTGACACTGTGACTTGAAAGACCAACAGGGTGTTGTGATGATGAACAGCACAGTGCCTCTCTTGTATCTGACTGCCTAATAATACCAAATTCGAGTAAACATCTGGACTTGGTCAGCAAGGCTTTGTGTTGGAAGCAATATAATAAATTGATCGTGAATACAAAAAAGATTAAAACTAACTATGTCTGTTCACACCCAAAACATCAGGTATACATTTCTTCAGCATGGCCCAGTGCAGAAGCAAAGATGTTTATCAAAGTTCCAGAGCATCTGATCAAATGCCTTGAGATAGAATGAGGAACAATGATATGTCATCATTGCTTATACAAAACTGATGATGATCCTGTGTATGTTAGATCACCCAATTATTTGCCACCACCAGAAAGAATTTCAAACACTTGGAATTCAAGTTGATGCTAAAATATTGCCAATGGCCTGGAGCACAACACATCCTCCTCAAATGAACAGATTCTGTGATTTGGAGGGATGTAGCAACTCTTGTGAGGTAGCTGTGTTTTGACTTGTGGGCATGCTTATCATTATGAGTGCTTTTTTTTACAGTTAAGAAGTCAGTGCCAGTACTGTACTGCATATCTTGTGAGTGGGATTGAGTATAATTGTAGAATTTTTCAGAAAAGTGTT